TCTTCGGCGAATCGCTGTTTTTAGAAAATTCCTCTCGAAAGTACGAGATTGCTATTACGTAAAGCGTTCCCGAAACGCGACGTATGACTTGAGGAAGAGATAGACCTGAGGATGCCGGAATATCCTCCTTGTTAGTTGATGCAGCTGTCACTTGGCAGACAAGATGATGGATGGAAGGCAACAGATGGGGCTACTGTCTTCGTCATAATAAATGCCAGACCTTCATGTCTTGCTCATGCCAGGTGTACATGAGGTCTCTGGTTCATCATAATGGTACTAACTCATTAGCAATACCATAATGAGTGTTTCCTAGTCATGCCTTGTTGTTGAACGGTGAAAGGTGGGATTCAAAAAGATATCTTTTTTATACTTGATCATTTTTTATAGATATTTCTTTAAAACCCTTATCTCTCTACATTCACTCGAAGAATAACGTAAAAAAATATTTCGTTCTCCTTTTCAGGTTTTACCGGCTACATTATGTTTAGATACTTAAGTTCTTTCTTAAAGTTACTTAGCGTCCCAGAAATCTCTACCACGTACACCTTACATCATAATATAAACGTTTGCAAAATTATTTCCCATAAAGAGAAAATTGATTCGAAAAACTGAGTGGATTGCTATCATTCATATATTAGTAACGCTGATAATAGGGTTCGTTTATCGATCGTTGAAACTTAGTTCGTGGAAGCTCAACTGTTATATAAACTGTGAGAAGATTGAGAATAACGGAGGTAAAAAGAAGAATATTTTTATTTTATTTTTTTTTTAAGTTTTTGTTTCGTAATATGAATAAATTATGGAATTGCCAAAATGAATTGGCAGCGGAAGTTTATGTTGGTATATGAATTTAACGTTCCAAGAAAGAAAAATCAATGTTAAGAAAGTTGGCTAAACTTTCAGCAGAAGGATGGAATAAGCTTCTAGTTGCTAAAATTCTCTACCTGTCTTATTAGACAGGGAGAAAATTCTTAATTTCTATACAAAACAAACAAGAAGTTTAAAGTAAAATTTATTATGTTCACATAAAGTTAAGGACTTATATAAATAATTTAATAGCACTTTGATCCTCACTTGCAAGCTCTTTAATACTTTGGATAATTAATTTTATATTTTATAATTTTTTTAGAAGTTTCGAATAAACTTGATAATTATTTTTAAGATTTGCATTGGATAAAGAAGAAATAATCTAACGTCAAATTACCGCATTTTTCCCCCTAAAATTTACCATATGAATGTTTCATACAGATATTAAAATTCTTATCATGATGAATTATATAATTATTTCTCGTTTGGACATACCATTGTTGATGTTTGCATTAGTTGATCTTATTTGAATCCAAAATCACACTCATACCTGAAACAATAAAAAAAATATTCGTTAGAAAAATTAACACATATTGAATTAGAAAAAATCCATATTAAATAAAAATACATTAAACTTCATTAATATTAAAGGTAATATGTAAATTCAAATAAGTTTGTAATGAAACTTATTTGATGAAACGTAATGAATTGATATTTGATGGCCGTTAGTATTGCTGGAATGATACAAATTTTTATTATTTTATATACGAATATAAAATCATTTCATTGTTTTATTATTTTATTTAAATGTTGACTAACATAATTATAAATGAAAATATTAATATTTTTAAGTATATTGGAAAACGTTTAAAGAAGATACAAAGACAGCAAAAGTACAATAATATCATTATTCTATGTTTATTTTTTCTTGATATGAAAGTTCAATTGACTCTGTAGAATTTAACATATAAATGAATATTTAAAAAAAAATTCTATTGACATGTGCCTATCAGAAGAAATTCAACCGATAAGGTTTTTTTTTTTCTTTTGATTGCATTTTCTTTTGTTTTTTAAAGGACTAATTTCATTGATAAAGATTATAATTATTCTTAAAAACATGTTTTGAACGTGTTTTCGGGGAAAAACGTCCCTATCATCCATCGCAGGTCGATGTAACATCACTTGGTGGTAATTATTATTTAATGAGATATTATCAAAACAAATAAGGTTATATCTTATATATATTTTTTAATTATTTAAACTTTAATTTTTTTTAAACGAAAAGTGTTCAATTAGGCAGTTGGTAAAAACATATAAAAATTCTGAGCTCAACCTTTAAACTGTTTATAATAAAGTATAAGTAATGGATATATATATATATATATATATATATATATATATATATATATATATATATATATATATATAAAATAAGTCTTATTTATAATAACGCTAACTATCTGTCCGATAACAAAGAATTATTTTCGGCATACTAGGCTTTATTAGATCTATAGTATGAGTACAATTTGTACCGACCGAAGTACCAAAGTGGGCTCAAACATTTTAATAAGGAGAAACAGATTTGAGATTTGCATTTTGGACCTCGAAAAGCCCCATTAGAAATGAATTTCCATAGCAATCAAAATTAATTTTTATTTCAAAATTTTCACCTAGGCTTGACTTTGATTTTTTTTCCGAAAATCGCAAAAATGCGATAACTTCAACATATCCACACAAAAATTACAAAGGGTTTTGGACCCTATAAGCTACACGGAAAGTAAGAATGCTTCAGTGCACGGCATAAAAAAAAAAAAAAAATTAAAATTAAGACCAACAATTTATATTTTTTGATTTAAAATGAAATTAAAGTATTGAAAATAAAGTAAATTAAATTTTTATTTTAAAGAATGGATATATTAGCAATGTTTTCTTATTTTAGAAACACTCGATAAAAATATCGAGTGATATATTATAACCTAGAAATATTTGTAAAACAAAGGTAAAAACAATAATATAATCAAATATTTAAATATGTTTTGCTTTTGGCTCCTACAGTGAATTGGCAACGGATACGTGTCTAATTTATTTCGAACTAGTATAGAAAAAGTTTCAATGAAATCGGTGACCTGACATCCTTAACCTCCCCTAGTTTGTGTGAAAAGATTATGCAATTTTATAATATATATTTATTTTATAATTTTTCCTATTATTTCTAGCCCCAATCTCATATTTGATATTCCCAATACTCGCTGTACTGGGTAACTTCTTTTTTTTCTTCATATTTTCATCCACACCTGTCATGAGCTTGAGAATAAGCTGATGTGCTGTAACTAATAAGAAAAAATGACATTTTTAGGCATGAGGAAACAAAAAATAGTACTAGGTATTGATTCATTTCCTTAATTCAGGAAAGGAGATCTCTCATCCAACTCCTGACAGACATGTCATCTGTGGCCATGTCGTTAATAAGTCCGTTGTGATGTCCGTGTAGTTTAAGGTGAAATCTGGAGTAGAGATCTTGTATGTGTTGGTCAATAGTTGGTTATCGTAAGTTGTTATGTAAAGTTTTGTTGTTGACGTACCAAGGAGCTCCTGTTATGAGTCGTAAAATTTTGGATTGAAATGTCTGTAGTTTTTGTAAGTTCGTTTTTTTTTGCAGAACCGTAAATTTGTAAGGCGTATGTCCATGTGGGTTTGAGTAGGTAAGTGTATGTATTAAGTTTCTGTCTGATTTGTCTGGGTAACTTAATTTCATTCTGTACATTGGCTCTTGTTCTTCAATTATATTTTGTTTCATAGAACATTAACCTTGAGTATATATCCGTTAGTACTTAGTGTTTGTTGTTTTTGAGTATTAGTTTTCAATATATAGATATGTATATATTCCGTTCTTGTCACTTAAATGTACCATTACATAGATATATATCGTATGTTTTAGCTTGCAAGGGTGTAAGGTAGACTGCTCTGTTTGCATAAGGCTAGTGAAAGGATGCATGTCTCAAACTGAGCCCTCTATGGGTCAAGGAAACGAGGACGGGAGTGGACAAGTTGGAGATCTGGTCCATTAGTTTATTGGGGTCGGCGAGTTGTCAAGTGTGCGGAAAATTATTACTGTATTAGAAATTCACATCAGTCCTCTGCTGTCAATACGTTGCGAATTATTGGTATTGGCTGAACTTGGCAAAGTGATAATTTGTATGCTTTGAGTTATAGTACGACATACGATTTATCAATATGATGAGATTCCTGATCAAAAGGGACTTTCTTCACGATCTGCTGGACCAGTAATTTCGTAAATTTCCCAACAGTCCGATAGATGATTGCGGGGCTGCGGTTGTCAAAGATGAGACAATAGAAGAAAGGACTAACGATATGGCATTTGTGACATTGGAAAGGATGAGGCTCCCGTAACGAGGGAAAATATCGTTTCTCTTTTGTGGTGCTATCGATAGCCCATGTTTCACCGACATCGATTCCTGAATGCCGGGCCATTAGCTTCTGCCTGCTATCGGCTTTCGGGTTGTTGGCGCTTCATCTGCAGGTTCGTTAGAGCCTTCACTGATCCCTTTCGCTGGTTTCACTAATCAGGATTCTAATTGTTTGCAATGTAGGTTTCAGCGAATATACATTTAATTTTTTGATATTAATCGTGAGATCAACAAAAGGTGCTTAATTGGATGCCAAATTTATTTCCCGCTATCTTTACTACCATATTTATTGTATTAGGAAAAATAATATAAAGAGAAAAAAACAAAATATTACCGTTTATAACTTGCCTATAACTACTAGTGTAAGAAGTATTAATTGAGTCACATATTTCCAAAGTGGACCATGAACCACGATTCAGATAAATTATCATTTGGAATAATTACTATTTAAAATGTTGGGTAATGGCGTCTAGCCTTAATTTGTTTAAAGCCTTGTAATATTAAAAAAAAAGTTAGATTAGAACTTATAGTTTTTAATATTATAATTTTGTTTAAAAGATATTGGAAAGCATATTTTTAGTTCCTTGCTTGATTTTTATTGATGGGCTAATATTATGTTTGATACTTTGCAATTGTCTTCTAAAATATGTTTATGAAGATGCTTGAAGAGTATAAATGATATAAAAAAGGGTTTTACATTGCCTTCTATACCTACTTTGACAAATGCTTTTGGTAACAATCCATTATGCAAGAATGGTTCGGTAAATGGGAATAAAAGATCGAATCGGATCACCATTGGGAAGCGATGTACCCATAAGAGATAATCCACTAAGGAGGCGTGTAATCATATGGTTTTAGAATCGATAGCTGCCTTTGTAACGACGATTTTACGCCGCGTTGGCTTCGTCTTTAGTCCACCATCGACGAGTTTCTTGAACAACTCGGTGATGGAGGAGGCGTGATCCTGACTTGGCCCTTGTTCGAGAAGTCAGACAATGGCGACAAATGGGAGGATCGGTGAGTAGTTTCCTAATTTCTGGCCAAAAGTTCGGGCTAGGATTTCGCCGAAATCCAGTCTGCAAAGGAACGATTCAACACGCTGCCTTTATAATAGTGTAATAATAGCTTTTCTTAGTCGTAGATGGAAGCGTGTAATTCAAGAAAATACACAATATTTATTCTATTTTTTTCTGTATTCAAATGAATCTGGTATTCTGTTAGAAGGATTCTCAAATCACTCTGTTTTACGATGTTTAAGAGTTTTGGTCCCGTTGTATAATTGGTGACGTAACCGTAACGATCCTCAGGTGGTCTCCATATATGGTAAGGAGTTCCTATCTCGTAACCTGTTTATTGGCCGCTGATAACGTTATCGAGCCAATTAGGCGTTTACATAACGCGTGTCGCACGATTTGTATTTTTTCTATTCTTTCATTTACTGAAACGTTTAATATTTTTATTCTGAAAGTTGATCTTCCATTACAAATATTAATAATATATAACATAATATAAATGATATTCTTTCCCCAATCGACATCATAAGTTCACAACGTTAAACGTTATTTTATTAACATATTTGAACTTGATCGGCATTCGACCAACATTTATAAAATTGATACCATTTGATAAACTTGATGTAAAAAAGTTAGGGACAAATGAAAAATCATTGTTTAATGCTGTTTAAACGCCCTTATATATATATATATATATATATATATATATATATATATATATATATATATATATATTTTTTTTTTTTTTTTTTTTCTTTTTTTTTTTTTTCTTTTTTATGGAGTATGTTAATTCTTAGTATTTCTTGGAATTTGTTATAAGGATGGAATATAACAATATTGTCTGACTGCATAATAAGTAATGTTGTTGCATGTGATATAAATATTTTAATTCAGGTGATTAATGATATCTCTCTATCTGGGCAATATCTTTAAGAAGCAACCTATATATATTTATTCTGTCTGCTCATAAGTGTCATTGATTACATAATGAATTGAGTGAAACTATCAACAGAATTAATCAAAACAGAGATGAATTCATAATTAAAAGTAATTATGATTGTAGATATTTAGATAGCAATTAATGTTATTAAGATTTATTACAAAAATATAGTTAATTATCTAACTTTAACAGCACAATAACTTTATCATAACGATAGGCTTAACGCTTTCTGATATTTTAGTAAACTGATGTTAGTAAGAATCTCTCTGATTTCTAAAAACTATAGACCATACTGAAACCAATCTGGGTCTACGGACTTGAACTGTGGGAGACAACTAAATTTTCGAACATCAAACGCATCCAATCCTTCCAGTCTAATGTCCTCCATATTATTGTCAATGCTCCTTATTATGTTACGAACAAAATTTGACATCCCTTATGTCTTGTTATGTAGATATATATATATATATATATATATATATATATATATATATATATATATATATATATATATAAATATTTTATTGTATTGTATATATAGTCTGAAGAACTTGCCTCACTCAGCTTTAGTACTCAGTGCCCTTAAATGTGGGAAAATATATTATTTCTCAATAAAAAGATCTTTAAAAAAGAGCTATATATTTATTATGCTTCATCATAACATTTTTTTTTGTTATATTTTTGAATAGTGAGTGTTTAATACAAAGTAGTAACTTGGACGTAACCAATGTAGTCGGGGGTACAGACTACTTTTTATCGAATTATTAACCTTCCCCTGAAACTTCGTAAATTGCTTCATCATTCAATTGCTCATTCTAACCTACAACTACTTTATTAACAAAAACTGCGTTTTCAAACTGGAGTTCGGCAAACTTTGTCTATTTGATAAGGTACTAAAAACTCGTAAATGCCCATTTGCTTTCCATTCGGATCGTAAGATAATTTGATTACAAAAAGGTGGTCTGCAAAAAGTATTGGGCCGTTTGTTCTATATAACTTCGTTATTTTGACAATTTGGGCTGCAGGTCACGCCAAACAGCTCAAAATTTTTAAAGAAAGTGGGAAGCAAATTGCTATTTACAAGTTATTATAAAGTGTGGCGATCTCGAGATTGAAATCGCCCCAATGAAGAGAATTTTCGTAAATAAAATATTTTTAGGTTACGATGAGTTTCAGATGGGTGTTAGTAATTTCATAAAAAGGGGTCTGTAGCACTAAATAATGTATAATGATTTTTCTCATGCAGTATTATTATAAACACATGTGTTGAATAGTTTATCCATTTATGGTCTTTTATTGGATGTATGTATATGAAACGTATGTCATCTTTGTTCGTTTTTTTCCCATTGAAATCTGTACTATTTTCTGATAATTAATGAATGAAACAGATTATTTTCCCCTGCTTTGCTACAACTTCAAACATTTATTTGCGTAATATAATTTATAGAACATTAGATTTCTTACCTAAGTTTTATTTTCCCACATCATACATAGTTTCATCACAACTTTTCTTTAATTAAATTAATTAAAGTTAGTTAATTAAATTACATTAGTTAATGATATTACATTAAATCATAAAAGCATAAACTCTAAAGGTATGTATGACGTTTGTTTATATGCTCATTGCTTCATTGTTTCATTCTCTCTTCTAATCAAAGATTTTGACATATATTGCTCATGCGGAAAATCAAATGATATGTGGAATAACATTTTTTTCTTGTATTGTCCTTAGTATTCAATAAACCATTTATAATATATATTATTCTCCTATAACTACTTCATTTATTCAAAAGTGGTGGATAGTTTAAATTTGGCACACAATTAGACCATTATTATGGTAAAATATTCAATTTTAATTAATGATACTAACTCTACTGACACACCTCCACCTCATAACAAAAGATCTTATCCCCAGATGCCAAAAGTGTAACAAATCACCCCCCAATCAACCAACCCTTTTTACATCGCAAGATTAAAAGATCTAGGAATACCCCAGAATATATCAGCATCCCTGGGAAATCAAGAAGAAATCGTTACCAAAGTCATCAAGTTCCTGGATAGTGAAAGACTTAAAAAACACATATGACAAGCTTATAATTAATGATCCTTTGCAGATTTATTATTATTTTTGTATTTATTTATTTTTTTATCTATTTATTTTTATTCTATTTTTTAATTTTAATTTATTTTATTTTTTATTTAATTATTTTTTCATTTATTTCATTTGTTTATTAATCTCAATTCATTTATTGATTCTACTGCTATTTTTTTTAGTTTATTTATTTATCTACTCCATCTTATTATCTATAAATGTCTATTATTATCCTCATTTATTTATTTTATTCTATCAATCCATTTCTTTATTTTTTTTTTCGTACCAACCATCCAAATAGTATTAAGTGGTGTTATTTAATTGATCGGGAGCTTATGACCTGGATGTTTTGCGCCTAGACATCCAAACAAACAAACTAACTCCATTTCATTTAATATTATGCAAAAAAAATATTATGCAATATACCTTCGCTAAATAAATTATTATTATTTAGGAAAATAAATAATTAAATGGATTACAAATGAAAAATTAGAGACAAATGATCTTATTTTCTACATTGATATCAGCCATTATAACATGAAAGTACGAAGAAATGTTCACGTAACGTTGACATTGACATCATGGGGGTCTTCAAATCTTTATTGTCTGCGGTTTTATTGCGTTTAATAAAGATAAATACCTGTTATTTTCATTGCGTAACTATACCCATAGTGAATCTCGTGGGTATATTTGTTTTTTTCTTAGTGGGGTTGGATAGATATCTTGAAGAAAAAGTGTTAAATAACTGATTCTCACTCGGATGGAAAATTACTTTCAATTCTTCTGTTACACTTTCGGGACTCAAAATAAAATAGTATTGAAGAGGAATGAGTTCTGTAATCGGGAAATTCACACATGTTAAGAAAAATATTATTATGATTTCTCTTAAATATTTTAAATGATGTTATATTTCGCAGAACTGACATAACGTTTTAAAAATTATCAGCCGAAAAATTCCCTTAATAAACATATTGTTTACTCAAGATAAAATCGAAATTCGATTTACTCGCCAAACGATAACGTACAAAGAAAAAACATACGAATTTTCCACTGTCAGTTTATGTTTCATCTGTTAATTATCATGTTTGTTTCCGTTTAGGACTATCTATTGTTTGTAAATAAACCGGGTTCGATAACGCCCCTGTAATGCGTGTCCACGATATGATACTGTTGAAAGGAAAAAAAAAAAGAAGATAAATGGCGTAACACATTGATAATGCTAATGATAATATCTACATTAGGCTGCAACGATGTAGTTATCGGAAAGCTACCACAAAAATACTAAATAAATTAGTTATTAATGTTTTAACCACTAAACAGACTGATTTTTTTTTTTTTTTACACCTTTACCTAAGTATTATAAAAATAAACAGACAATGGATGAGCAACCAAATCAAGTAAAGTATTTTCCATTAGATCCTACGGATAAAATATTCATACTGTTAGTTATTCATTATACCAAACATTATGTATTTAATGTATAAAGTACTCAACGTCTCTCTATAAAAAAGTAATAACATGTTTGTAATTATTTGCAGTAATTTTTGCAGTCGTTGACATGTGAGAATGAAGATTATATATATATATATATATATATATATATATATATATATATATATATATATATATAGAGAGAGAGAGAGAGAGAGAGAGAGAGAGTGAGAGAGAGAGAGCGGTAGACAGGTGTGGAATCTGTGTCGTCCAGATTCAGCTAGCTGCGGTCTCAGATACGATCTTCATTAATCTAGTGCTAGAATTAATTACTATTTAATTATTTAGGTTCGCAAAGTTCAAAATTAAGTTGAATATATGTGAGTGAGTTTATTTATGTGTATTTACTTTTATATAAAAATAGCTATAGCAAAATATTAAAAACAAATATTACTACCTCCATTGTTACTGCCTAATCTTAATGCGGCTTCTATTGATAAATAGGTTCCCGCCAATGATATCTAGTATAAAAATAAATCGAAATAAGGAGTAGGTCCGTGAATTAGTCCTCATTTTACATATAGTCAATATTGTCCTTAGAACTTTTATATTTTGTCAAAACTATTGTTTAATTTCGTATAAACAAGCCTAAAATATTTAAAACTAGAATATTTCTACTTTTCAGAGATAGTCTTTTTAAAATTTTATTTCCGTATAATTTAATTTTTATATTTTATATTGTGATTAAATCTGATGTAGCCAGTGATTAATTATATGCTTTAAAGCCTTTACTTGTCCGTTAAGTTATGTATTATCTTGTAATAAATTTATATGATCAGTGTTATATTAAAATGATTTTTGTTGTCGATGAAACTATGACTTACAATACTGTTGGAATCTGTATTTATTTTAATGTTTTTTTTTTATCTGAATTATTTGGGAGATTATAACTGTTTGATTTGAGAAGGTTTTCTTATGTTATGTCATATGAAAGATAATGGGGTTTTAGAGAAAGGAACAGATAACCCAATTTCTTTACTATCACATTTCCATCAGCACTGGATTGGCCTAAAAATTATTTTATCTTTTAGAAAAATTATAAAATTGAGCTTAAGCGTGTAATGTCTGTTAAATATTACAAATTGATATTTTCAGAAATGTTTTTTACCAAAATAAATAACAGACAAAGAATGTTTGGAAAATTGGAAAACATTAATATAGTTTATAAACATTTTTAATTTAATTGTTATCTCTCCTATTTTGATATTATTGTTATTATGATTAAAACGTTTGAAAATGGCTTAATTTTAATCATCTTTTGGTCGTTTTTTATCATCGTAATGTATTGTGGTCTCTTGACCGTTATCTATTTTTTTAATATTTATTTTTAAAACTTATTTATTGAAAAATATTACAATCTGTCTCTAAGACATTTATAATATAGTTCACAGATCACATTCACACTCTATGTACAATAAATAAAATAAATTATACAGAAAAATAATACATATACAATAAATAAGAATAAAATAACTTATTAATATTAAAGTTTAGTTAAAGATTTCAATACAAAAATAGTTTATATTCTACAAGTTATTTATGTGTGAATTTTAATATGCATCTATCCACCACTCAACGCTTGAAGCTATTATTCCGTATCTCAGTTATAAGAGATTAGGTAGATTTTCCATGAATTTGTTTGTTTTTTATATTTCGAATAATAATGAATAAACAAAAAAACGTAATATTCTGTGAAAAGGTACCGTGGGAAATGCGAACGCCGTTATCACAGAGAGGCCCAGAGATAAGACGTGACGTTTCTCTCTTAATATATACTCACTGATTTCGATTCTGATATTCAGTGCATCCTACTGTTTCGGATGTTCAGTGTCTTCTCCAGTAAATCTGAGTCTTTCCATCGTGTTGGATCTTAAGGTGAGTTTCTTAAGAGTATATATTTTATTATGAGAAACAGGGTCGAATAATCGAATAGAACTATATTAAATAAACTGTTCATTTCTACTTCATCTAAGAGATTAGTGACAATAAAATATAGGGAAAAAGGTTATATATGTTTCTAACGTTCGGAATTTTAAAATGTTCAAGGTGTTTTTCACAGACCACTTAACATTACACACTTTACCCCTCCATTATAAAACATCAAAAATCAATTAGCTTGATTATTTGAAAAATATTATCCTTACACGTCCATTTGATATATCGGCTTTAAATTAATCCATTGCGGAATATATTTCCAATTGAATTGTACAATAAAACTTGTTCGGAAAATTGATCGCTGGACAAGGACAGGACATTCTCCTAGCAATTGCGATACAAATCTGCATATCATTGCGAATACAAATCAAAGAAATGGATTTATTTTTCTATTTTTGTTTTCAATACGCACTGTCTTACTTAACTTATGAATACATTGAACTTTATATTTGCATTAATAATTCACAGCTGCAAAGATAAAATTAAATTAATTCTTAAAAGTTGATCAATTAATAATTATAGTTACGTAGGAACTGCTACACTTTCACAAGATAAGAATATTTAATCAAAGCTATTGAATATAAAAGTCATGCGATCTTGTACTTCGGACATCGTTTATTATTTATTTAAATCCAATTTTATCTTAATTACTGTATTTTATCTTGATTGTTTTTACATACTGTTTTTCTTATGTACATTTATTATATTTTCTGTTATATAAAAAAGAAAAAGAAAATTGATCCGAACATTTTATCATATGTGTGCTTTTTACTGGTCATTTCTAAAAAATAAATACAACTCAAAACTTAATTTTTAAAAATCTTAATTTTTCGAAAAAATTTTGATGCATTATCTGATGATAATTTAAATATATATAGATATATTTTCAACAATTAACTTAATTGAACATCCAATTTACATGTTGACTGTAAATAAATTATTTGGAGAATAAGGTTAGAGGGGGACGGTCAGAAATTACACATAAATTAGAAGACTGATTGTATTGTGAATTGAGGCTAGCATATTAACGAAAATAACAGTATAAACATTAAAAAAAATTCTGTTTGCATTACAGATCTTGTAGATCTTTTACCGTCTTAAGCAGCCTTCTAAGTCGATGCCGATGATGCTATTTCTTTCCTATGTTGATTCGGTCTATCCATCTGGGTTATGACCTTCCACGTGGTTTTTTTGCCTATTATTGAGCATTAATTGTTGCTTAGAGACTTCTTGCTGGATTTCTTTAAACAACATGCTCTATCAATTTCAATCGTCTTACAGGAGTCTCGGTAACATGAGATATTGATTCACCAGTTTCTGTAAGTAGTCGTCTATTGGTTTTTGTTTTCTATGGGTTAAAAATCTGATCCCAGATTAACAGAATGAAGAAATATGAGAGTAAAAAAATGAAAGAAGGTAAAGCAGATCAAGGCATTTTATTCTATATTATGTATGGTATGATATGACAATATTAATTGGTTATCATTTTTTTCCTTAGCCACAATGAAAGCCTGAAACATATGCCGAAACGTCAGCTTACAATAAAATAAATCTTCTTACTTGTGTGTAGTTTCATATCTGACCAAACTCCCAACTAACTCCTGTTACTAGACGTGTGATAGGTAGCCGATAAAATGAAATCACTCTACATTTTCATTTGATTATTTTGTGATTTATTTAACTTAAGATTGAGTAACTTTGGGACTGAGTTGGTAGGTTTTGGGCTATGCAGGCTCAGTCTGCAAAAACGTGCTTTGTGTAGGCATGTACTGCGTTGCTACCTTGCGGCACAATACTCTTAAGACACAAGCCAAAGTTTCATGAAAACAATAATTTTGAAAAAACAATGGGAACAAATAAAACCTAACTGCACAACGAGTGTAGTGAACTAGGTTTCTCAAACTGCCGCAAGGTAGTAGCTCAGTACATGCCTACACAAAGCACGTTTTTGATTGAACCAACACAGTGTATCCACCACGGAATCAACTCAAACTAAATTTTACCCGCTGTTCTAAAGTTACCCCTTCTTAAGGCATTGCATATAACTTTTTATTTAATTTTATTCATCTAACTTGATGTTGATACTATAAAAAAACACAAACATCATTAGTTGCTCGCCCTATACCCAAGTTACCCTAACTTAAGACTGATGAAATATTTTTTAATATGAATTAACGATTGCTGCTTGTCTTGTCCCTAGATCAGTAAAGATGAAGCTCAAGCTGAATAATGACAAACTGGATAAGACGGAGCAAACCTGCCAGGCGAAGCCTAATATCGACCCGGAGCCTGTTAAGATCGTCATCGATGAGGCCATTCCTCCATCCATCGATGAGACCCTTCCGGCCCTCTGCTGCGAGATGGGATGCCAACTTGTCAAAATCTCTCTCCTTGCCGGTGTCGTGTCCGCGCTCTGCTTCCTCTTCGGCGTACTCTTTTACAACGTAGTCCTCGTTCAATACGGGTTGTAAGTATAAGATTATTTCTATCGACGATCTGAGGCTGTGATATTACCTTATCTGAATGTATGTATCTGTGTATAAATGTGTCAAATGTGTGATTTTTTTCCATTGTTTTATTTATGAAAATAAAGAATAATTTAATTTTTGTTGTTGTTATTTATGCTTTAAAAGATATCCTTTTGATTCCAATCCAAAAAAAAAACTTTCTCTCCTCTATGATAAAAAAAAAAACACTGAATAAAAAGAAGTTCAAACAACAAGAATGGTACTCTTCATATTAATAAAGTTTTAAACATATCCGACTTTTGGCTATTTTTCTGATCTCCTAAGACATCATAGCCGTAATTCAGTACAAGAAAATGGACTTAAATGAATCTTTTGAAAATTTTCCTAATGTATTTATTTTATATAATAGCCGGAAAGATACTCCTTTGGCTATTTATGTGTATATAAATTACTAATCAAACACGAAATGTGCCAAGAAAAAATAGAAGAAACAACAAACTATTATATAATACATGTGTATGATTTAATTTAATTGAAGCTAATCAAAGCTCATTCAAATATTATTATATACAATATTACGTAATTAGAAAAATAAATTGGCTCACCGTAGCGTTGATGTATTGGAACTCACTGTGTGTTTTCTTATGGCATTAATCAAAGGGTACTCGACATTGGTTCCTCAGAGATAGCACTAAGTTCCTAAAATGAGCGCTGAGGTCATCAATGATTTTTGATTATTATTCAAATGGAAAAATTATTCCATCGATGAGGTCAGCGCTCAGCTTAGGAACTTGCCACTTTTTACATTTGCTGGCGTTATAGTGTTAAAATAATGAAAACAAAAATTCAATTTTAAAATTATTAGATAGTCTCTGTAATTTCGATCATATTACCAGCGAGATATTCGAGAAACCTAATACACAGATAGATGTTTCTGTTGTATCAGCAGTACGCTATTTGCCATGGATTATTGTATTTAAAAAAAATATATAGTTAAAGTTTCTTTCATATATAAATGAGCTAAGGTTTATCGAAAGAGTTCCAACTGATTATTTTTATATATGTGGGTATTATATATTTTATAATTATTTACTCTTTAATGCTTAATCTTGATTTTACATCATTATAAAGATATATGTGATAGTAACTATAAGCTATAATGAGAGTTCCTATATTGGAAAAGAAGGGAAGGAAGACTGGTGGAAAAGTGTTTGGAAGTCAGTAAGATACAACACCCCGAGATAGGAAAATAACAAAATATTAAATGATATTCGCGTGATACTTAATTGGTCAGTCTCAATAAAACAAAAAAATAATAAAATAAAAAGAGGTGTTATCCTTGTTTATTAAATAATATTTTTATTCGACTGGGCCTGTCACTGTTTTTGTTTGCTACCTGCTACAAGTTTCGTATATAATATTTATTATAACTATAAGTTTTATATTTTATAAAATTTTAAATTAAGAATATCTTGAACGCTTTTGAGATACATTCCCCATAATTTCGATTATTGTCTTAATGATAACTTCATTAAAAACGTCAAGAAAATGTCTGATAAAATTATAAATTACACTCATTCGGCGCAATCGCTATAATTATAAGCTCTCATGTTAATGGATCATTTAAATCGTTATTTAACGGATTCAGTGATAATTAAAATCGAGTACTTCTTCAGAAATCGCTTCGTTGTATTAATTTACACAATTGCAGATTACGCGTGCTGAAAAAACAACTGTTCATTTATAAAATCCATTAATCCATAGTTTTAAAAAAGATTTATATATAAACCTGAACTATTTATGAATGGCTAAGGATCCAAAAGTATAAAACAAAAAAGTCTGCTTTTATTAACTTTATAAGTTATATGCAATTGCATTTTGATTGTAAACATGAAAAATTAATTAAGGTGATAAATAATGTTTTATGTTCTTGTAGTACCTAATTATATATGTAAATTTTTGTCCTGTTTTCCACAACATTCGACAGCCAAAAATATGAATTCTATGTTAGCTAAGGTATTAATAATTTCCAACTTCAAAATACATAATCTGTATAGCAATACTTTTAATTTAATAATAAATTTTATATTCTGAATATTTGAATTCAGGTCTATAGTAGAAAGTCACTATTAAATGTAACAGTAGCAATGACCTTGTAATAGGTTACTGATTATTATGACTACATTCATATAATGATACCCAGACCACAATGATTATAGCTGATAATGGATTTATAATTGTGTCTATATTTCTATAATGAAGATTTTTCAAGAACATCGAACCAAGAGCGATAAAAGTTTATCTTGTTATTGTTTTTTTTTTTATCTTATCTCAGTTTCTCTGTTGGGGTTCATACGTATTACACACGTATATTTCTCGTTTTATATTTCAATTTCAAAAAAGAAACGTAGTTAATTCGTTAATAATTATGTTATTTTTACTTTTATTTTATCAGATTTCCATTCTCCCAATTTTTAATATTTACGTTTAGAATGAAAATGGATTAAATGATATTCGCGTAGTACTTAAATGATTTATATCACAACTAAAAAAAAAAGCTTATCTATTTTATTAAATAATATTAGTATATGATTGGTTCTGTCACTTTTTTGTTTGCGAACTTAAATAAGTTCGTTTCCGACTTCTCCAACACTTACTAGACAAACGCTCTAAACTTCCCCTTAATTACAAAAGACTCATATACTTGACTATAATAAGAGCTATTTGGACTTACGGAGTTGAGCTATGGGGCTCCACTAAACCATCGAATTCCTCTCGCATACAATCCTTACAATCCAAAATCCTTCGTAAAATCCTCAATGCTCCTTACTTTGTCACTAATAAAATAATCCATAAAGACCTCAATGTTCCATATGTTTCCGATTTGGCCAAATCCAGATACCTATCCTTCCATAATAAACTTCATAACCATCCAAATCCTCTTGTTTCTAACCTTGCTTCCTCTTCGATTCCTGATAACCCTCCAAGGCGTCTGAAAAGAAGATGGCCTCGTGATCTTCTCATGTAGACAAATTATTAGAGTGCTACCAGTGCCTAGTTTCTCAACAAGCGTGTTTCATGTAATAATATTTCTCTGTACAAATTTACTTGATGTATTCATACTAATACAGTTGTAAATATCATAATAAAAGTTAAAAAAAAAAAAATAATAATAAGTTCGCACCACAAAAGGACTAAAAAGCCCTGCTTTGACCTAAGAATTTTCCAAATCTCAAGTTTCATTAGGAAATTCTAACTATACTACTTTTTTTATTATAGTTTTTCATTCATGAGATTTTTTCTTTCCTTTCTCGAGGATGGGAAACTTATTGGTTTTTAGGCCTATAAGCTTAGTTTAGTATGTATTACTAAGTATGTTATGTACTTGTCATTGATTCATAATGTATTATTAAAGTTTAATGATTTAATATTAATATAAAAGCTATTAGTAAATGAAGATAGAAACAGCAACTGTGTTGGTTTGGGTGATGATGTTCAATGAATATAATATATTTGCGATTATCATCTTCTTTATATATATATATATATATATATATATATATATATATATATATATAAATGCATCAAATTATTTTTATAAGGGTTTGTTTTGCAGCTTTTCATCATATGATTATACTAATTTTGAAGTTCAAGATTTACAACCTAATTTTATTATTTTAACGAAATACCTGCGATAAATTTTCAAATAATATCTACTTAAATGGATCAGTAAATAATAATAACTTGTTTTAGATGACCCATTTATCAATTTTACAAGTGTACCCCACGCTGAGAATTTTTAATCTTCTTCAAGTTTAGATTAGAACAATAATTTCTAGTTCCATCCGGTAAATAAAAAAATATAGAGATCATGGATCAATACCTCCGCAGATTACCTAATACCTTTTTAATTAAAGTCACCTGCTACCTGATAACGAAAATAATCATAATTAATCTCTACTCAAATTTTGAAAATCGATATATTTAGAAAAGCTTTAGAGGTATATTTAATTCATTTTAACTTCCCCGTAGGGCTTAAAATTTTACAAGCGATTATACCCAGATATATTTCCTTGAAAAAAGCACCACTGAGCACCTGGCAATGGACCTCATCTAAAAGAAATATATAAATATTTTTGGAAGGCCATTACTGTTGTAAGGAATGATATCAATAAAACAGGTGGACTAAAATAAAATTTCGATAGATTTTACAATATCTTAATGTTCTATCTATATCAATTATTTTCTTATATAACTTCATATTTATTTTCTCTGTTTTACTCTTTATTCTAGATTACCATTTTCATTTCTTATGTAAGCTTATATTTTATTATGCTTATTTTATTGTTCCGTGCTTTGTTACTGTTATTATTATTTATCTATTAGATCTCTTATCACTGTTATCATTCTACCTACTTTGTTTTACTTTTATGTTCATTCTGTCTACTTCATTTTACGTTATTTTTTTTTCTTTTAATTATTAGTCTATACCTTTCACCTTTTTTAATATTAATTCTGTATTATTCAATAATATTATACCTATTGGTATCTGGTTCTTTTTCCCAGCCCCGATGAAGGACTGGGGACTGATCACCCCAACCATCCTTCTCCTCAATTAAAAATATTATATTTGAAATAAATTTTGCCAAGGTTTATTCTGAAACTAATTATAGTTAGTATTTACTGTATTAGAAACAAGATATTGCTTACTCGCAAATATAATGTTCATATAGGGATACAGTTTTATGTATCATAAATATATATATTGAACTTCAAGAAACATATTACATCGGACACCGGAACGGACTGGGGAGTTACGGTCTAACGTATTCCCACGTCCCTGAAGACGACCTTAACTCCAGAAGGTAAAACCAGGTCATTTTCACTATGCTAACCATTTTCCCGAGAAAAACAACGGTACTCACCCCTGGACGATTTTTCATACTTTCTACTTCGCAGAGGCGGGTAATGGAGATCTTCGTGCGTGTAACTCCCTATCCACATCTAGATGGATCCTTGTTAATCATTGGCTATGATTTCGTTCTAGATTACCCATTTTTTTTATGTTTATAAGATTATATATTAAAACAAACTCCCATTGCCTCCTTATTCCATATTTTAGTATTCAATTATTGCTT